ATATATATTGACTTCTTTAATATACGTTCCAAGTTCCATCGCACCGAATCCAGAATTTCACAAAAATATTTGAATCGCTATTATCTTTAAATTAATTAGCACACTTTAACATAGATAGTTTTTTATAGTCAAGTTATAACAAAACTCCATTATCATGATTAGACATCATAACTCGACACATTTAAAAAAATGTCTCAACAGACGTTATGACGCAGTTAGAAATGACGTACAAGACAAGACTTTCTCAGTACTCAATTCTGCACCCAGCAATAAAATCAGTCGTTAATGACACCGAACAAAAAATATTTGTAACTCTCTTTGTCTCAGTCCAAGGCTGAAGATGCTCTGTGTGATCGGTTTTTTAATAATTTATTTTCTCAGTAAAAGAGCACATAAAAAATAGATGTTACTATAATACATTTTGAAGAATAAAATTACAAAATTATCAAATATAACAGATAGAAGTTATTTAAATATAAATTTTCACACTCAAAATTTATTTCGTAAATCATACGAAAATTAAATTAATTAGCGCTTCCAAAAAAAAAAACCAAAAACCCCGCGAATTCTAAGGGTTGCCGAATATCGATCGACAAGGACCAGTCGATCATCTCGCGACATCAAAGGTGTCGCGGGGATTTCTGGTAGCATCTGCCTACTGTCCGTTCGTTGACAGACGCATCCCGTTCCCTGTCGAATTTCGGCGCAAGTGAGGATGGGAGACAGGATCTCGGCTCGACGGCGCATTCGCTCGCGATAAACCAGACGTCGCTTTCATTCACGTCGAGGAGGACACTAAGCCGGATTATCCGCGCTATGTGAGCCAAAATATCCCGCGGGAGGAGACGCGCGCGAGAGTCCTGCGAGGAGTGTGGAGTGCTGCCGGGCGCCGCATCGTTGGCAAATGCTGGACGCGGATGTCCTTTATTCTTTACGGCCATGTGATCGATCGCTCGATTGCATAACGTTGAAAAATACCTCACGTTTTATTACGCGAAAAATATTTCATTATTTTATTATATCACGATCTGTCTCTGCAACGGCGCCATATTGACAGCAGAAAACAAAAATTGCGAGAGGCGGGATCGTGCTGCGTGATTCACAAAGCAACCGCCGCCGGTATCTCGATGATTTAAGAACAATTAAAAAGCAAAAATGCAGACGGACGCGCTGCAAATTTCCCAAATGTTTAGCGTCACGAGCGGCATTTAATTAATTCACGCGCATCAAATTAATCGGACACCGATGCGTAAACTGGCCTGTGTTCTCGGTCGAATTAAAAAATCAGCTCGAGATGTGTAAACAATCTCGTGTCTCGCCTCTAATATTTATTCATATTACGGAATTAATTATTGCACAGACATAAAATCAACACGATATTCTCACAGAAACTAAATCTTCGAAATATTCGTGATGTATGCGGTGCTATATTACTTAAAGATCGTATATGACGTTAAAAAAAAAAGAAAAAGAAAAAAAGAAATATGGACGTACATTATTACTCCGAAATCATGTGCGGGGTTAAGATTCATCCGGTCGTCTCATGTATCATAGAAGCGTGACGTCACTTACTCGCGCCACGACGCGACCTTTTCTTCCGTCGTACATAACTCTCAGCTGACATATCTGCTAATGAGCGACAATACGGGTAAACAAATTATGAGCCGGCCGTTGTCGCCGCACGAGGCTGCTGAAAGCTGTAAATCGTCCGATAAACGCGCCTTTAAGAGCTCCCGCTACGGTCTCCGCCGCGGGCGCACAGCGCCTTCTTTTCTTGGTCGCCTTTAACGCCTGTATCGCCGCTCGAAGCGAGTTCGATAAGATGCTTGCCACCGATCGAAAGCAGCTGTCCTGTCCGTCCCGAGTGACTACCATATATCCCCGAACCCAAATTCTCGACCGGGGACACATTTTGTCGATCGGGATCATCGCTCGTTACGTCCTGTAATAGGTCAAAGCAAGCCGTGTTACCCAAAGCAGCGTGTGTTCCCTTATATGATCATTTTCACACAGACCTATCTATATAATCTCTTTTCCAAACAGTCCCCTTTATATATATTCTATGCATGTGTTAACACACAAATGTGAAATAGATTGTATTAAAAAAAAAAAATAGGATTAGCATATTTTACATATTGTATTGTTATTGTAAATTCGAACTAACTCGATTGGTAAGAAATGGATGGAGAAAATTTGATTGAGATTTTTTTTTTTCAGAGCATTATTTATTCTAAAAATTCAACCGAAGACATAGTTTTCTCTTTAAAAGAAAAGACATTCCTTTAGAAAGGCGAGAAGGCACCGCTCGGCTTTAATAGCCATTCTCTTCCCAGATTACGGAAAGGGCTTTCGAAGCCTCAAGATGGGAGTCTTACGGCAGCGGCCGAGTCATCAGAAATATTTATCGGCATCTGTATCCTCATTACAGTTTATATTGCTGTCGGGAAGAACGAGAAATTAGGTGCCAGATCGAGCTGCGTTGTCGACGCCGCGTCAATATCTATGCCGGCAATAATACTAAAAATTAAATCGTAAAAAAGCGATCACGCGCACGATAAATCGTAGCCGAGAAAATTAAAAGAATCTACGGGATACGAGCCAGCCAATGACGGCATTCTTTTCTACTATTTTTATTCCGAGATCGAACGGACCCGTGCGGCGGTAATAAATATTGTATAATCCTATAATCCTTCAGTATCGATGAAATCTATTTATGTAAATTTCACAAAAAAAACAGAATAAATTATACGTAATCCTATTATTTTCTAAGCTTCGCGCGAGAACAAAAAAAAAATAAGCGTATAATACGTATAATGAGTCTCGATACGTCGTAATTAACTTAGAAAAAAATTAAATAATAATCGTGACACCAAAAAGCTCGGACGCGAGGCTCGCTCGTTTTCTCATTTTCATATCTATGACGTGTTATGTCTATGCTCCGCGATTATTGCTATTAAATATGTAGCGCGTGCGACGATACAATTACATCGGGAGAACGATAACGCCACTACCGTGGCGATATCGTGTTATGATTGATTCGCGGAGGTATCATGCGATGAAACAGAACAGAATACAAAATAAAACGCAACGTAAAATGGACAACTTTGTCGAAGCACCTGCTTCGCCCGACATTCGATCATCCGGCCTTCCTTCCTCGTTTGTAATTCTTCGTCCCGCTACAATGTTCAAAGGGCTTTACACATAGCAATCTCCCTCTCGTTCTCTCTCCCTCTCGAGCGTACCGCGTCAGTTTATTCCCATATGGCATATGGTGTGTACTTCCATTTTCGAGAGAGACTCTCGATCGATCCGCAGAGCGCGGACCTATATCGCGGATACCATCGCTAATAAGTTACGAGAGATGCCAATCTTTTTAATCGATATATAATTTATGCCTCCTTTCTCCGCTTTCACGATGATGCGAACGATGATCACGATGATCGCAATTAACGATTGATCGAACTCATTTTTTTAATAGCGGTTTAATAGCATAATCCTGTTAGATTAATTGTTACTTCAACCTCATGTGTCTCGTAATTTAACTACAATTAGCATATGCAGACACCTTTAATTAATTGCACACTATATAAATATTGATTATACACATAGATATTAATTATATACGCAAAGACACGTGACAGAGTTCTCAAGCATTTTTATTCGTTTCGCTTCTTCATCGTTTCAACTTGATCATTCCAACTTGATATTGCCAAAACCACCCTTTCCTCTTCTTCTTTTCTATTTTCCTTCTCTCTCTCTCTCTCTTTCTCTCTCTCTCTCTCTCTCTCTCTCTCTCTCTCTCTCTCTTT